AGCCTGTAAGAGAATGACGAGTCAAAGGACAACTAGCCCAATCAGAGTCACACCAAGCCGACAACTGAAGATCAGAGTCCGTACGGAGAAGAATGCCCTGGCCAGGATTACCCTTCAGATACCGGACAACACGAAGGGCAGCATCCCAATGAGCCTGAAGAGGTTTCTGCATAAACTGAGCAAGAGTATGAACACAGTAAGAAAGTACAGGCCGGGTAATTGCAAGATAGATCAGACGACCAACCAAACGCCGATAACGTTCTGGATTAGGAAAAGGATGCTCAGTGCCCAAAGACAACTGGTGATTCTGCTCCATTGGAAAACCAGCTGGTTTAGCACCCAACAGACCCACCTCAAAATATCCAAGGCATACTTACGCTGACAAAGAAAAATGCCAGAGAAATTACGAGCCACCTCGATACCTAAAAAATATTTAAGAACGCCGAGGTCTTTCATATGGAAACAACTGCTCAAGTAATCCTTGAAAGATTGAACGGCACGACTATCATTGCAAGAAATGACGAGATCATCCACATACCCCAAAACAGTAAGCTGAACAGAACCACGTCGGAAAAGAAAAAGGAAATAATCAGAGGAGGATTGCTGAAAACCATACCGGCGTAGAGCATTAGCCAACTTGGCAAACCAGCAACGAGGAGCCTGGCGCAGCCCATAAAGAGACCGACGAAGCCTACAAACACTACCAGGCACAGGGGAAGAAAAAGCAGAAGGCAATTTCATATAAACCTCCTCAACAAGATCACCATGGAGAAAAGCGTTGTGAACATCCATCTGATGAAGTTCCCAACCTTTGGCTGCAGCTTACGTAAGTAGAGTACGAACGGTCACCATCTTCGCAACGGGAGCAAAGGTTTCATTGTAATCAAGACCTTCGACCTGTCGATTGCCTAAGATGACCAAGCGAGCCTTGTAGCGTTCAACAAATCCATCAGAATGATACTTGATTTTAAACACCCACTTGCATCCAATAGCACGTTTCCCCGGTGGAAGAGAATCAACCGTCCAAGTGCCATTAGATTCCAATGCTTGAATCTCTTGGTGCATAGCATCGCGCCACTTTGCATCCTTAACAGCCTCCGAAAAAAACTGAGGTTCAACCCCTGCAGTGATGCTAGCCAAAAATGCGCGATGGGATGAAGAAAAAGAAGCACAATTGACATAATGATGAATGGGATAGGACGCACCCGAGGAAACTGATGAAGATGATAAAGCAAGAGAGGGGCTTAAAGAAGTAACAGGAGTGCCAAGAAAATCATTCAACCGAGTGGAACGATATTTAATCCGATGTCCACGACCTAGTAGTTCTTCCTGTTGCTCAGAAGGTGGTGAACCCCCCCTTGCTGGTGAGGGGTCAGAGTGAGAATCAGAGATGACATTATCAGTGGAAGAGATTAGAATAGGAGATGGACCAGACACTACTGAAGAACTGATAGCAGGACCAAGGGAAAAATCATTCTCATTATCAATAAAAGGAGGATATTCAGGAGACGGAGACTGGGAAATAGCTGGAGTGGGATTCACATAGGGAAATTCTGACTCAGAAAACATCACATCCCGAGAAACCAAAAAATCACCAGTCTCTAAATCATACACCCGCCAACCTTTCTTGCCAAAAGGATACCCTACAAACAAACACTTCCTACTACGACTGGAAAATTTATCACCATGCCGATTCTGGTTGTGCACATAACACAAGCATCCAAAAACACGTAAATGATAGAGAGACGGCGGGCGACCATACAAAATTTCAGCAGGAGTCTTGCCATGTAAGATACTCGAAGGGGTGCGATTAATCAATTAACCGGCAGCTAAAACACATTCTCCCCAAAATTCAATAGGTAAGTTGGCATGGAAACGTAAAGCACGAGCCACATTTAAAATATGTCTGTGTTTACGTTCCACTCGACCATTCTGTTGAAGAGTGCCCACACAAGAGGTTTCATGCAAAATACCATGGGCACAAAAATAATCAGTCATACAAAGGAATTCAGTACCATTGTCACTATGAACATTTTTGACTGATTTCTTAAACTGACGCGCAACCATAGCAAAGAAATTGCACAAAGTAAGAGAAACCTCCTTCTTACCAACCAACAAATAAAGCTAGGTAGCTCGAGAAAAATCATCAACAATTATCAAAAAATATCTAGCACCCGAAAAAGTGGGAACACGATACGGACCCCACAAATCACAATGTATCAATTGAAACACTTCAATAGTTTTAGTAGAACTAACTGGAAAAGAGGTTCAAGACCGTTTGGCCCTAAAACAAACATCACAGGCCTTATTTAAAAACTGACTATCCTTTGAAGAATCCACAGAAGGAAGCAATTCTAGCACCTTAGAGGACGGATGCCCAAGACGTTGATGCCAGAGATCAAATGAAGGTACCCTAGTAGATGACAAAGTAGCGACAGTCTCCACATCCCGAAAGAAGTAAAGCCCCTCCCGTTGCTCACCCGCTCCAATCAGCATCCTCGAAGTGAGGTCGTGGATAACACAAACACCAGAAGTAAAATGAGCAACAGAAGCGATATCTTTCAATAATTGAGAAATCAAAATTAAATGACATTTCAAACTAGGCACATAGAGCACATTCTGTAGGGTCACTCGACTACTAAGCGCCACTGTTCTGGCTTTGGTGGCGTACGTATGTTTGCCATTTGGAAGCTGAACCGGAACCCAAATAATATCACGAACATTATCAAAATAATCAAGAAAACCGGTCATATGTCGTGTAGCCCCCGAGTCATACATCCATAATTCAAAGATACGCTTACCGGACAATTTGGGACCCGAGCTAGACTTGGCCAAATTCAACAATGAAATAAGGGTGTTCCATTGATCCGAATTAAGGCCAGTGACTGCAGTAGCTTGTGCACCAAGATCAGCACCCGAAGACACCATTGTGTGGGCAGAAACGGAGGAAGAAGCAAGACTACCACCGCCGCAAGATCCTGCATTATTGCCGTGACCAGAATCACCATTGCCGCGTCCGCGACCACGCCCCAAACCACGTCCACGTGAAGACCAACCTTCCAGGTAGCCAATCAATTTATAGCAGGACTGAATTTCATGGCCTGGGCGATTGCAGTGAGAACAAAACACGGTCTGATCACCAGAGCCTGCCGGAGCTTTTGAACTTCCACGGTCCTGAGATTTACCGCCGGCTGAAGCTGCAAATGACACCACTTCATGACTGGAAGTCGCCGGAGAAAGAGAGACAGCAGGAGTCTGCACCGTGAAGCTCATCGTCTCGGCGGGAATCTCCTTGGATTGCGAAATTAGCCGCATTCCTTCCTCTTGGACGATAGTCGAGTATACCTTCTTCAATCGAGGCAACGGATCCTGGGCGAGGAGATTCGATCGGACCGTTCCATAAACAACATCATCAAGCCCTAAGAGAAACTGATGAATTTTTTCTTCCTCCACTTTGCGCTCAGCCGCCACCGCCAGATTACACGTACAGCGCCCACATGAACACACCGGAGCAGATTCATACGATGCAAGTTCCTCCCAAAGCTTCTTAAGACGAGCATAGTAGGCCATGATACTAAGACCCTTCTGTCGATAATTGGCCAGATCGGATTTAAGTTGTTGAATCCGTGGCCCATTCACCAGTGACATAGAATCCTTGATATCAAGCCACAAGTCACGAGCCACCTCCATGTGAGAAATTGTAGAACGAATGGAGGGCTCAATCGTGTTCAGAATCCATAAAACAAGCAGTGAGTTTATAGTCCACCAATCTTCAGAATCCGGTGATGATTCGGCAGGCTGAGGAATAGAGCCATCGACAAAGCCGAATTTTTTCCGGGCTTGCAAGGCGGTTCTCACAGCTTTTGACCATTCGTCGTAGTTACTTTCGCCACGAAGTTGAACTTGGGTGATTACAATGCCGGGAGAATCATTGGCGGTCAGATCGTACGGCGAGATCGTCTTGTGACGTACGACCGCTTCATTGCCGCCGATAGCCGAAGATGACTGTGCAGGGGTGTGCTCGGCGTCTGTTTGAATCATGATCAGAAAAAAATGGAGCAACAGGAAGATGTAAAGTTCCTGCGATTGATACCATAAAACAAAAGGGAATGGAAGGAAGATTTCAGAACGGGGAATCTTCTCTTGCCCTCTTCTGTATTTTATTTAGGTTTATATAAAATGTTACAACAATGTTACAGCCTTACACTGGAGAAATCATCTCCGTAATATCTGCAAAATTAACTCTAGCTATATAAATTCCTTCACTATTTTTTTTTCTTGAAAAGAAAATATGATCGGTATAGAATTTTGTATTTTATTCACACCATTTCCGATGTCATATCATATCAAAACATAAATTTTGTAGAATTTGTATCATCACTCATCAAGATAATAAATTGGGAAATTCTGATGTAACAACCACAAAATTAACACAACAACTCATGCTTTAGGATAAAAAATTACACCTTCGAGAATTATGTAAGAGTCATTAGCTATGAATTTGTAATACTGAAATGATTCAGAGGCGGTGAACATAAAACTTGTTATCCACTTTCTTAAAAAGAATGTAGTAATCAATAATTTTGTACACTACATATCTCTATAAATGTTATTTTCTCTCTGTAGCATAATCAATGTTTAATTTAAATTTTCATTTAAGTACAATTTGAAAAAAAAAAAAATTCAAATTAGACAATCATTTTAGAACAAAATCAATACATTGTTTTCTACACCACATAAAAATAAAAATCTCGTGGAGATAGATGGTCTCGTCATAGAATTCTATAAGCTTTGGTAAAATGGTTGCAAGCTAGACTTGTAGCACATTACATGCTTTAGGGATCACAAAAATTGTGAAACATCACAAAGCCTTTTGAATGAAAGAGCAACCACACACGTATAAATAAGAAGTTTTGTCAATCCCTCTCAAAATTAGAATCCTGAACTAAATAAACAGTACAATAAAGGAGACCAAATCCTCATCGACATTAAGGCGGGCTCTAATTTACTAAAGGTGCATAACGAATGGAACAGTCGACCAAGTTAATTGTACCGAACATATGACCATTGCACTGAGAAACACAGTCTTCAGCAGCAGCTTCCAGGCAAGCCCCGCAGTCAAATGCCGACAGATACAACACACAAGTCCCTAAAGCGAAAGCGATGATGCCGCTGGTACTTCTTTCGGTGTCACTGTGAAAGTAATGAGAAGTGTTGGGTGTGAGCTTGACTACATAATAAAGCGCTTGATGTACGGCGATTCCATAAGGGTCGCCGTCAGGGTACGTGTTCGGACTGCATTGTTGCAAAGTAATTCCGGTGTTCGGGCCGCCGGAAACAACCGATATCGCCAGAAGCAGTATACAAATCGTTGGGACGAACCTCATTTTAGGAACAACAAGAGAAATTATAGTATCTTTTTGTATCCAATATCATGGGCTTTATTAGAGCTGATTTCTTTGATTTCTCCGAAATCATATAGTAACAATCTTAGGAAATGTTAGAGTTGTGCAGGCTAGAAAGATTCCCCGACATCTATATGAAACTACCAAATGAATTTCTTTTTTAAAATTTTTTATTACAATTTTTTTTTTTTTTGGTTTTACTTGTACTCACTCCCTCGTCTCATTTTGTTGCTCTAATTCTGGAATTTAATTACCAAAATTTGACTACTTAATTAATCTTTCGAAATGACTGATTGTTTTGAAATAGACTGAGGTTTTACGTAGTCTTTTTGATCACCTTTTACTTCCTCCACTTATTGTATTATTTCGTACTCATAAGATATCAACCTGAAATCTTAATATTTTGTCAGTGTATCACCATTCGAGCATAATTCCCAACAAGAAACTAGGGAGTCTTAATTGCCTAGGTTTAACGTTCCAATTTCTAGTTAGTATCCGAAACCAACTCGGACTATAATTCAGAATAACATAAATTAATATAGTTAAATTGTTAATTTACATGTAGAATGAATAGTAGCTGGAATAGCTCAATTGGATAGAGCATGTGACTAGTAATCACAAGATTCAAGTCCTCCTTTCAGCATTGGTGTTCTTTTTATCTATATTTAATTAATTTCCTTAAAATTAATGATCAAGATTGACGATAATAATAATAATATTTGTAATAACTAAATTTTTAATATTTAAAATTACTTTCACTTGTTGACATGCATGTTAGTAAACTGTTAACGTATTTTTCTATTTCTTTTTTGAAAATAACGTATTTTTCTATCTGTACATACACGAAAGAGTGATGCGTACCGTTTTAGATAGTTGTAACATTTTTGGTGAATTAATTATTCCATGCATATATGGTGCTGTTACTATTTGGTTATCTAGTCACATATTTTTTTACAATTATTTATGTTTGGACGTAGTAGCTGCCATCCATGTTTCTCGCTTGAGCTCTGTAATTCTTATTTTATAACTTTTCAGGGAATAGATATTGAAATTAAAAAGATAAAGTGACAAGAAAAGTTATCGTTTTGTCCCAAAAAAATATTTTTCAGTTTGAAATTTTATTTTTAATATAATAGTAATTGTGTAATAAATAAAAATTAAGGGCTAACGGCGCCCGACTTTGACCAATTTTTAGATCAAGTCGACCGTGATATATCTTTTCAGTATTTGACATATTATTTATTTTATAAGTGCATAAAAAGATACTTATAAGATATACGTGTCTTCCCCCAAATGTGTCTCCCACATTCATATCTTTTTCAGATTCAAAAAACTCAATTTTTTTCTTCCTTAAGGGTCTCCTTTTGGATAAGTGTCGCGACAGCATTGTTCGTAATTAATGTCCGTATTCGGATAACTGTGAACAACGTACGACGAGCTGCAGCATAGACCGATTGCCAGTAGTATTGTTGTTGCAAAAAATCTCATTTTTTTTGGAACAATATAAACGTTCAATCGTTTTCTAAACCACATCTCAAAGCCTATATTTCGTTAAGATTGTGTCATCACTCAACAAGAAAATTCGATAAAAACTTTGGTATATATAATGGGCTTTTAGAACACAAAACGTCTGAAATGAAACATCACAAACCTTGTTAAAAGACAACCACATGTAAAGACATGCTCTCTATCCCTCCCAGAGTAATCATCATGTTTTGTTGAATTAATAATTAAAATATTACTCCATCTGTTAAAAAAGGAGAAAAGAAGTTTACATTATAAATTGTGAATGAATCGTATTAAAAATTATATTGCCTCCGTCCCTAAATGGTGCTATAAATAAAAAATAAAAATTGGAAAATCATTCTTTGAATACTAGTTAGTACGATCCTTAATTTACAACAAAACCTACTTATAATTTGTGAGACGGAAGAAATACAATAAAGAAGGCTTCCTTCATTTAATAGGAGCGGATCTCGAAAAGATAAAACACCAAAAAGATAAATTTAAACAAGGATCAATACCAAAAGCAGAGTTTTAAACAGGTGCATAATCCATGAGACAATCAACCAATTTAACAGCACTGCCCATATGTTTATAGCAACGAGAAAACATATCTTCGGTGGCCGCATCCAGGCAAGTCCGGCATTCCGTTTCCGTCAGATTTGCATTGTCATTACAACCCCCGGAAGCTATAACGGGGATGCCGTTATTACTAGTAATAACGGTAGAATAAACGGAACCAATCTCCGCCTTATTGGCTACATTATAAAGCGCCTGATTTACGGCGACTCCATAAGGGTCTCCGTCAGGGTACGTGTCGGGACTGCATTGAAAGAAAGTAACCACGGTGTTTGGCTTGCCGGAAACATTAACCGAGCTGATCAAAAAGCATAACCACAGCCCTAGGAGCTGCATAGCAACCAACTTCATTTTTAGCAACTGGGTGTGATAGGAGATTATGCAGCCATTAATTATTACAACAATTTGATGGGCTTTAAGTAGAGCTGAAATTTCTTTGATTTCTCCGAAATCATAGAATAACATCCTGGGAAAAGGATAAGTATATAACAAATGTTCGAGTTGTGCAGGCTTGAAAGATGCCCCGACATTTATATGGAACCACCAAACGGACCATTTTCGTTTATTTTTTCTTTTTTTCCCAATCCCTTTTTTTGCTTCTTTCCTTTGGGTTGGTCTTCAGAAGAACAACCTACGGTAAAATGGTCAAAGTTTTGTAGGAAATTTGGAATTTACTTTTACTCAGTCCCTTGTCTCATTTCCTTAGTCTAATTTTGAAAATTATTTTTTCCAAATTGGACTACTTAATCTTTGGAAATAGATGGAGTTTTATGTTTACTACAATTATTCTCTCTTTCTCAATGGAATGGTCCACGTTAAGTTTTGAGATCGGTAATAAAAAGTTTCTAAATTCAATGTGGACTACTCTTTTTTACGAAAAAAGAAAATATTATTATCGTCAGAATAATACAAATTTCATTATAGTTCTAGTTTCGATATTTTAATTATCAAAATTGAAATATCATTTTTGTTTAGCCAAAATTTTTAACAAATTATCGTTGCGACTATACATAAATGGAGTCTAAACAGATTCTAGACTTGAATATTGTGTCACTCGATCAGCTTAAAGATCTATGTAAAGCGTCCGATTTTCCTTATGTTAGTAAGCGTCGAGTTATCACTTAATTGTACGTTGTTGTACGTGTAAGTAATGTTTCTATCCATTAACCATTTTATCAGTTTGTACGTAAAAGCAGACAAATATGTGATTAGAATTTTTGTTTGAGTCGATAGTCACATGAGGCCTTTTTTCAAATTATTTCAACTTAAATCATGAGTAGACTAGAACCGTCAAACTCAATCAAACTAATACTCTCAAAATGATGGAGAATTACTATTAAAAACACCGGGAATAAAAGAAAGGAAAAAAAAAAGGAAAATGGAAAATTATTAACCTTAACTTTTTTTGTGCATCACTACATATATACTATAAATTCCTATGTCTCAAAATTACTATTTGCTTTCGGCTTTCAATTTTAATATAATTTCAACTAAAATAAAAAATTTAAACTAAACAATCACTTTAAGACGGAGGAGGGAGTAATATTTTGATTGAGATAGAGGAATGGAATTTAACCAACCTTAAATTAATGGTCGGCTAAGATCCAAATAAAACAAATAAATACTCCATTGTGCTGATTTCTAAGCAAGCTATCAATCACATTCACAAAATACTAGTCACTATCAATAATGCTATGAAACACGTAGGAGAACATCTACTCCGTACCGCACTCAAATAAACTCCTTATTCCAATACTGGGGGAAATTATCCAATTGAAGCATATATTCACAACAGGAAACCACGGAATCTCGCCTAGGCTTCCAATTTTTAGTTGGTTTCCTAAACCAACTAAGACTATAATTCAGCATAACGCAAATTAAAATAATTAAATTGTTAATTTATATGTAAAATTTATGGTAGTTGGAATAGCTCAATTGGATAGAGCGTGTGACTAGTAATCAGAAGGTTGGAGGTTCAAGTCCTCCTTTCAGCATTGTTGTCCTTTTTCTTCCTATTTAATTAATTTTCTTCTGCATTATAATAATATATAAGGATTGATGATGATAATCATAATAATAATTAATAATTAATTTTTAATAATTAACTGCTCATGTTGGTATACAAGTAAACTGTCAAAGTATTTTTGTTTTTGTACGTACAAAAAAAGACAGGTGAGTACCATTTTAGATACTTCTTGGTGAATTAAGTTTTCCATGGGGCATATTATTTTGTTATTATCTAATCACGTAGATTTTCACGATCTTTATTTTGGGACGTAATAACTGCCAATGTCTCTCGCATAAGCTCTATGATGTTTATTTTAATAATTTTTTTTGTAGGGAATGGATATTTAAACTATAAAGATGAATCAAAACCGTAACACCAGCTCACCAGATTGTATCCTTGTACGAGTGGTAGTGAATTTCCTTGGTGCCAATCGTGATATTTTCAGTACTTGATGTATTTTTTATGTTTATAAATAAATAAAATTAATTTTAAAATTAACGAAAAAATTATAATAACCACTAGTCCCGCCTCCAAATGTTTTACGAACCCTAATTTTGACCTTCAACTTTAACGATATATCTCCACAGTTGCAATGTTTTACCCCTAAAACGTGTCTCTCCCCAACCCCTCCTCAAAACCCCACCGGAGCGTCGGCAAGAATCATCTGAGTTAGGGTTGTTGAAAAATGGAGTTTGAGTAAGATTAAAAGTAGAAAGAAAGAAAAGAAAAGGTAGGAGATTTTGTGAGTCTGGAGGTAAAAATTCATCAAAGAAATAAAGAAGCCACAGATCGAGTATTACTCCCTCCAATCCTTAATATAAGCCATTTTGATTTGTTATAGATTTAACCTAGTATACATTTTTAATCGACGAAAAAATCTTAAAAATATATCATAACAATCAACAGAACACAACGAATGTAAAAATAAATTTTTACGATTTTTTTGTTAATTAAAAATTGTACTAGATGAAATTTAAAAAAAAGTCAAAATGCCTTATAATAAAGATCGGAGGAATATTAAACTGAACACATTTTGTACATCACTACACTAATTAAAATGGAAAAGTGGACAGTAAAAAATGGAACAATCCCCCAAGTTAATAAGCGCAGCCATATGACCAGTGCACAAGTTTTCAACATCCGCACAAACAGCTTGCATACAAGCGGCGCAGTCAGCCGGAGTCAAATCCGCGTTACAAGCATAGTTCGTTAGTGATAGAATATGTAATTAAAGAAACTCTAATTAGGGTTTCTGGGTTTTATGTATCTTTGTATATATATATCTTATTGTACAACCGGTCACATACACAGACATATAATTCTTTCATGATATCATCCTTCTTTCCTGGCCTCTCAATTTTTTTTAGGGTTTCCGCCGTCAGCTTTCTTTTCTTCCTCTCTCTCTTGCCGGCATACACAAAATTCCGTTGAACCGCCGCAGCTCTAAATTCCATCGCCACCACCCAAAATCTCCAATCCTGCTGCTTTCTTTTTTGCGGCTGCTCTCCAATCCGCATGCTGCAATTCCGCCTGCTGCTTCTAAATTCCTGCTGCTTTCTTTTTTTGCGGCTGCTTCATCCATCTCAATCAATCCATCTTCATCCATCTTTTTTGCGGCCTGCTGCTGTTTTTTTTTCTTTTTCTCTCTGTCGTCGATCAAGTTCATCCATCTTCATCCATCGATCAAGTTCGGCTTCTTTCGGCTTCATCAAAATTTCCCGTTCTTCATCAAGTTTCTGTGCCTTGTTTCGGCTTCATCAAATTTGTGCCTTTATTTAATCAATTGTCCTGTGCCTTTAGCTTTCTGATCTGCACCCCATTAGATTCACCCTCCGTGTGTCTTCTTCCTCATCATCCTCGTTTAATTCTTACAAAAAAAAAAAAAAATCCCCTATTCCTTACCACCCACACAGCAATCCTCCCTCACCATAATCTTCCTCCTTCATGGCTCGGTCTGACGAATCCACAATCACCGCCACCCAAAACCAGCCGCAAAACCCCCCTCCTTCCAACACCTCTTCTCCGCTGTCTCATCCGGCCATTGGCCTCTCCAACATCAAAAATTATGTTACTCCGGTCCTAGATTTCACCAACTATATGCTCTAGAAGGAACTCTTTCTTCTGGTCTTTCGCGGCCATGGTGTCATGCATCACATTGATGGTACCTCTCTCTGTCTGCCCTCGACTCTTTCCACTGCGGATGGTTCTTCCGTTTCTGTCCCACATCCTGTCTTTCAAACATGGACTCAAATTGATTCCATTGTTCTCTCCTGGATTCAAGCCACAGTCTCAACCGAAATCTTGCAAGCTATAGTCAAATCCAATTCTAATCTCACTGCTCGAGAAGCATGGTTAACTATTCAAAAGCTTTTTCATGATCAACTTGGCTCTCGTCTTCTTCAATTAAAACTCCAATTCCACAGTTTCAAGAAGGGTGACTTATCCATTGATGATTATGTCACCAAACTTAAATCTTTTGCCGATTCTTTAACGGCGGTTGGTTCTCCAGTCTCCGAACCCGACTTGGTCCTTCAAATTCTTGCTGGCCTTCCTTCTGAATATCAATCTGTCTCGACCACGATTAGTCACAAAGTCCCGTTGCCTAATTTTGTTGAAGCTCGCTCCATGCTTTTCTTGCACGAAGTGCAACTACAGAATACCATTCCTGCTACTCCTCCCGCGGCAACTTCGGCTTTAGTTGCGGCTTCTTCAGCTGAATCCCTTCCTACTTCAGCCACCTCTCAACCTTTCACCAACAATCGTGGTCGTGGTCGAGGCAGGTTCCAGAATTTTCGGGGGCGTGGCGGTCGCGGACGTGGTCGACATCAATCTGGTCAGTATAATTCTTTTTATCCTGCCTACTCTAATTTTCAGCCTCCTATGTTTTCTCCTAGAAACCATGCTCCTTCACTTCTTGGTCCAGCTCCCTCTTTTTCAGCCAGGACAACTTGCTATTCGCTGTCAGTTATGCAATCAAGCGAATAACTCTACTAGAGAATGCTTCCAATTTCGGCAACCCGCTTACTTTGTCGATCAATATCCTCGACCTCCTGCTCCTCCATCCGTGGATTCATCCTGGTATATGGATACCGCTTGTGGTAACACTATGACTCCCACCCAAGGTATTCTCTCCAATTCAACGCCTTATAATGGATCTACTAGGGTTGTGATTGGTAATGGTAATATGTTGCCCATTAAATCTGTTGGCACTCTTTCTTGTTCTTCGTTTAAATTTCCTCGCGTTTATTGTGTTCCTTCTATTACAAAAAATCTTATCTCTGTTCGTCAATTTGCTACTGAAACTCAATGTTCCGTTGAATTTGATCCTTTTGGTTTTTCTGTG